GGGCCTCAGCGGCGGGCTGGGGGCTCGGCGCGCCCGGGCGTCAGTAGGGCCCGGCGACGGCGGCAGGAGTGCGTCTCATCCCTGCCTCGGGCTTGGTTTAGCTCGCGGGCTGCTCCGGGAGGAGAGCTAGGCGAGGCGCGCCACTGGGCCCGCGGGTCGGGCGCATGGCTTAGGGGCACCCCCACCCGCCGCGCCCCCAGCATGGGGAAACTTCACTCCAAGCCGGGTCAGTGCTCCTGCCGCGCGCGCCAGCCCCCGGCCCTCGCAGCCCTAGCCACTGCGATTGCTAACTCTCTCCTTCTCCTTTCTTTCCGGCCCCCTCCGCCGTCGCGCGCGATGTGCCTGCAGCCGCCGTGTGCAAGCGCAGGGAGAGCCCGGAAGGTAGGAGCGCGCTGGGCAAGGACCAGGGGGATGGACTGGGGACGCACCGCGGACGGCGGCGGAATGGCCCAATCCCCCGGATCTTATTACCAGGGCCACCCCCTCCGCAACTGCGGCCACTGGTGCTAGAAACTCGCTCCGGGAGAAGCATTTGTACCCCCTGCTCAGACTCTCCGACCTCATCCCAGAGGTCCAGCGCTTCTGACCCTCAGCCCCTCCCCCCTCTCCCCTCCCGTGGTCCGGGCCCTCGGCGTCAGTTGCGCTCCTTCATCTGACTCTCAAACCCCTCCTCCCAAGATCCTGCCCCCCCCCAATATCCTTCAGTCCCCTATCTCGAGAACCTTACCATCAGCCCTTTCGCCCCATGGTCCTGGTCTCCAGTGCCCCCTCTTCTGACCTCCAAAGCCCTCCTCACTGGGTCCTCTTTCGCCTGCCCCCGCGCTCATTTCTGGGTCCCTGCTCTGGAACTTCGCGGAAGCCCCTTCTGATTACCTGCGTCCTTCTCTGGGATTCTGCCCCAGTTCTCAAGTCCCCTCAGGGCCCCAGAGGCCTCTGCTTTCCTTCCTCTGCCGCGCCCACCCCCTTCCTCACCTTTTCGGTAACTTTCAGCTGGGGTGCCAAACTCAGGGGTTGCATGTCGTCCCCGCACCAGGTGACAGCTTCGCGGTGAGCGCCGCCTGGGCACGGAAAGGCATCGAGGACTGGATTGGGAGGCAGCGCTGTCCTGGTGTCGGCCCGGGACCCAGACAACTGCGAGCGGCGGGCACCGTTGGCAGAGGCACCCGGGTAAGATCTCCACGCCATCTCATCCCCTCACCCCTCCCGGCTTCAGAGTTGAGTCTCCATATCCACCCCCGCACCCCAACTTTTAAGCAGCCTTTCTGGAAGAGCTTGTGGGGCCAAAACCCTATTCCCAGCTCCCCTCTACTGCACCCACATGGCCCTGTGCCCTAATAATGCCTTTAGGACTGCCTGGGGTAAATGTTCAGGTGAGGGTGGTAAAGGTCCAGCTGATGAGGGAAGCCCTGTGCTGGAGGGATTTGGGGATCGGGTCTGACTTGTACCTTGTTTTCCATGGCCAGCATTCATAGGTGGGCTTGGAACTGAGCTAGGGAGAGAGCAGGTACTCAGGGATGGCCTTGGGACCTTGTGGCTGCTTCTGAATGTGTTCTGGGTGTCTCTAGCAGTCATCAATGCCATGTGCCCAGGAACCCCCCCCTGCAGAACAAACTGTGATCTAGGTGGGAGAACAGGCCTCATTATGCTACAGCCTGGGCTCAGTGGGTCTTGCCAGTGGTTTCCCTAGTTGTTTCTGGGGGAAGAGTAGGTGTGACGGGGAGTAAGTGAGTCCAGCCCTAGCTCCTGGCCTGGGACTGGTGTTCACAGATGTCCTATGAGCTCCAGAACTCTGCAAGGGACTGTCTGCGTAGAACTCGTGCGAACCAAGGATCAAAGGATGAATCAACTTTTTGATGTGACATTTAATTTTTACTTTGAGGGGGAACAGACTGAGTCTCAGGTCTGGTTAGTTCTTTGGTCTTGTCCACGAGCTGGGAAGAGGCTGGGTGGTGTTTTCAGATGTGTGTATATGTTTGGACAGTGGAACCTGGGCTGAGTACAGCTCAGCTGCAGGGGCCAGTATTGGGAGGTGGACCTGTGGATAGAGTTGATTCTGGTGCATGTATGAAATCAGCTCCCGTCTCTTTCTCCCCAGCCACTGCTCTGTGGGGCCTTTCTCTTCTCCATTGGTTGGGTTGGAATTGGAGCTGCTGTCCCCCTAGTAAAGGTCAAAACTTGGTGAGTGGGGGCGGTTGGGGTCCTTTAAAAACAGAACTACAAACTTCCCTTTCTCCCCCCACCACTTCTTGGTTTTGATCTACTTCTTGATTTAAAGCCCAATGAAAATGGTTTAGTTTAGCCATATGAACAAATGTATTTGGAGCTCAAGACCGAGGTCAACTGAATGGATTTCCATTAATCAAGTTTTGGATTTTTTTCAGTCTGTTTATTTTTACAAAGTATTCTTGCAGAATGACATTTATTTGTAGTCCTTTTTTTTTTTTTCCTTTCCTAAACTGCCAGGCAGCTTGCTCCACGCTAGAGGGGAAACTTGAAATACAGCGAGGGCTTACTTCAATTGACTTTTATCTTCAAAGCCATAACAAATGTTACCCGCATGTTTTTGGTGGGTCTCCTTGGCATCCAGTCTGGGAGGATGGGAGGGAGGAGAAAGGAAGGAGAAGAAAACAAAAGTCCGTCGTTTTTAATTAAATAGTAGTGTTCCTAGCAAAAGGAATGTGAGCCAGTAAAAGTTGCCATTGGGGGAAATGAGGGAGGGTGGGCAGGGGGCCTCAGCTTAAGTCTGTGGCTTTGGTGAAGTCACGGAATTTTGTTGCCTGGTTTCCCCCAGCTGAGGACAGAATGGGATAGTGCTTGCCCCCTGCCTCCCTCGCCCCCTCTCTCAGAGAAACGCTGAGGGGTCATTCATGTTTGTTCAAAGCACTTTTGAAGATGTGAGGCACAGAGCCGTCAGCGTGACTTTTGTTGGGCGGTTGGAGGGTGGGCCCAGTCATCAAAGATGTTGGCGGGGAGCAGGCTCTGCCTCCTAGACAGAGTGTCCTTGGTGATGGGACCCGGATGCCTGGGTTTCCACCAGTCCTGGCCCAAGATGGCCCAGTTTCTGAGTTCATGGAGGTGGGGTTGGCAAAGCTGGCCCTGTGTTCCCTCTGGGAGGTGGTCAGGGTGAGCTGAAATATAACAGTCTCTCCCAAGGTGCCAGGCAGCACTGCTGGCAGGCTATTTCATATGGTACCTGAAAGAGTATTTTTAGTCTTAATTGTTCTGTATTTCTTTCACCAGAATAAAAAAATTATAACTAGGACATCAAACCCATAATTTCACGGGTATTATTGCTTAGGATGAAGCTGAGTTGAAAGAGAGAGTCAATTTAAAGTCCATTCAGAGAAAAATATTAAGCTGTAAATCTTTAAGGAAGCAGAGTGCCTCATCTTTCTCCCATGGAGTGGCTGGTGGGTTTGAAGAGCCAACCTTTTGGTTAACAGTCAAGTGTTTTAACCATTATGCCACCAGAGCTCCTGAGTAATTGATAGTGCCACCAAGAACCAAACCCACTGCCATTGAGTCGATTCTGACTCATAATGCTTTAAGACAGAGTAGAATTAACTGCCCCATAGTATTTCCAAGGCTGTAAATCTTTATGGAAGTAGACTGCCACATCTTTCTCCCATGGAGCAGCTGGTGAGTTCGAACCACCGACCTTTCACTTAGCAGTCAGCTCTTTAAGCACTGTGCCACCAGTGCTCCTTAGCATCAGTAGGGCTGGTCAAAATGTTGAAGATGAGAGCAGAATGTCCCAAGTTTGGGAAACATCGAGATACTGAACAAGACAGCAATGGGCAACCCTCAGTCTGCTTGATTTCTTAGGTTCCTATGAGCATGGAAGGGATGGTGGCTGATTCTCCCATTAGATCACCAGTGTGTAGAGTGCATGGGCTCTGAAACTCTCGCTGGGTTCCAGGGGCTGACAGAGGTCCCCAACAAGCCCTACATCTGTCTTAGGGATGGCTTCTGTCTCCACTTTTTCATCAAGCCTTCAACCACAGGGCTGAGGACACTTCAGTGGCACATCCAAGTTGCATTACTGTTACTGCAATGATTGTTGTTGCTAACTGCCATCAAGTTGGCCCTGACTCATGGTGACCAAGCACAATGAAATGAAACACTCCTTGGTTACATGATTGGTTGTAGATGGACTGTTGTGCTTCACAGGGTTTTCATTGGCTGATTTTTGGAAGTAGGTGGCCAGGCCTTTCTTCCTAGTCTGTCTTAGTCTGGAAGCTCCGCTGAAACCTGTTCAGCATCATAGCAACCCCCACGCCTCCACTGACAGATGGGTGTTGGCTGTGCATGAGGTGTATTGGCCAAGAGTTGAACCCAGGTCTCCTGAATGGAAGGTGAGAATTTTACTACTCAACTACTAATTTTAGTAGTAACAAAAACAAATGCAACACACTGTCGTCAAGTCTCAAGTCTGATCTGACTCATAGTGACCCCTCCTTGGGTTTCTAAGGCAGTATCACTACAGAAGTAGATCTCCCAACCTTCCTTCCGGGGAGTGGCTGGTGGGTTTGAACTGCCAGCCTTCTGGGTAGCAGTCAGATGCCTTAGGCACTAAGCCACCAGAGCTCCCAATTATAGTAGTACCAAAACTAAAACCAAACTCATTGCCACTGAATCAGTTCTGACTCATAGCAACCCTCATTGGGTTACCAAGGCTTTAAATCTGTGTGGAAGCAGACTGTCTCATCTTTCTTCCATAGAGCAGCTGGTAGGTTCAAACCACTGACTTTTAGTTAGTAGCCCACTGCCTTGGGAGTTCTGGTGGCCTGGTGCCTACGGCATTTGACTGCTAACCCGAAGGCTGGCGGTTCAAACCCACCAGCCACTCCTTGGAAGGAAGATTGGGCAATCTACTTCTGTAGTGATATTGCCTTGGAAATCCAAGGAGGGGTTGATGTCTTAACCATTACACCACCAGCCCTCCTTATTGTAGTGTTAGCTGCTGTTTAAGTGCCTGAATGTGCACTGTGTGTATATGATCTGAATCCTCCCCACAACTCTCTAAAGTTGCCAGCCAGCTGGTGTGGACTGTTTTTCCTCCCTTTCTGGAGCACTTTCCAGGAGAAAGGAAGGCATGTGTGGCAAAGCCTTGTGCCTAGAGGTGATTTCCGAGAAGTGGCATGTGGACGAGCTACAAGAGCTTTGGGGTGAGCTGGTTGTGGGGCAGATAGGAACGAGAGGGGCCCCTGATTGCCTTCTTCCTCCCTGATGGGTCTGACAAGCTTGGTAAGTGATCAACACACAGGGGCACTAAACAAAGCCTGCCCTTCTGCATGCAAAACTAAGTGAGGTTAGCCTCTGCCACAATGGCTGTGTCGCCTTCTATAGTCTTTTAACCTTCATACGTCTTAATTATCTCATGTGTAAAATGGGTGCAATCATATTCTCATCCCTGGCAGGGTTGTGCTGGATCACACTTCAGACATTAGAACCTGGGCAGAGTGGTGTCAGAAGATGTGCTGAGAGACTGGTAGGGGTGACATGGGGGGCGGAGCTCTAAGCAGGGAGAGACAGGGCAGGGGCTAAGGCTTGGGCTTCTGCTCTTTCCATGTGGACACAATGGGCTCCAAGGGAGTACGAGCTCATTGAAAAAGAATCATGAGAAATGTGAGTACTTTGAAGGACAGAAGGAAGCCCTGGTGGTACAATGGTTAAGTGGCTGCTAACCAAAAGGTTGGTGGTTTGAACTCACCCAGCTGCTCCATGGGAGAAAGACCTGGTGATCTGCCCCCATAAAATTACAGCCTAGAAAACTCTATGGGGAAGTTCTGCTCTGTTGCATGCAGTTGCTGAGTTGAAGTCAATTTGATGTCACTTAACAACAGCAACATGAAAGGCAGTAAACTGAACAACTTATATGCCAGGAAACAATGAACGCTAAGCAGAATTCGAAATTAAAATAAGCATAATAATCTCAGTGAGATAAAGGAGGAAATTGGATACATGAAACAGCAATAGGCGGTTACAAAAGACAACCCAGTGGAAATATTGGGTATGGAAAATATAATGGATGAAACAAAAGTCTGAGTGGAGGGATTGAGTAGCATAGTGGACACGGAGATAGTGGACATGGAGATAGTGGATAGGAAAACACTTGGAGAAGCAGAAACTGCACGTCTGTGTGCACACCCATGTGGCATGTACAT